GGTATGAATGGACATTAGTCGTGTACACTGTCGTACACCAAAACACCTTATCAAGCCTTGTCAAAGCTCGTTGAAAAAATATATATATATAGAGGCTAATTTTATATATCAAAGTAATAGTAATTGAAATTAATTATTTGTTAGTTTTTCTATTTATAAATAAAATGTTTTATATTTCTTATAATTTATGTTATATATTGATGGTTACAAATTTATTTTACTATTTATTTATTTGTTTGTATTTATGACGAATATATTGATTTATTTATTTTTTATTTATTTATTTGATTATTTTCTTTTATGTTAATATTATATATGATAATATCAATCTAATAGAAAGCTCTAGAAGAGCGACTATATTATTATCTAAAGAGATAGATTTTGAAGGCTCTAGAAGAGCGATTATATCATGACTTGAAGAGATAAATTTTTGAAGCTCTAGAAGAGTGAATAAATTATTACTTGAAGAGAAAATTTTTAAAGGCTCTAGAAGAGTCGATATATTATTACTTGAAGTGACTAATTTAAAGGCTCCGGAAGAGCAAATATGTTATTATCCGAAAGGATAAATTTATTATAAATGATGTACTATTCTCTTCAAAGTCTCATAGAAATTTGTTGAGTTTCATAGATACTCATCTGATTTGATATCATATCAAGATAGCAAATGTGAATACTTATATGTTATAATCATTATATCGGGTAGAAAATATCTATATAAAAAAAAAATTATCCGTTTTCTCTCTAGTATTTATTACAAACATTGAAATGATTGAAACAAATATTGTAGTAAACCGAAGTTTACTAAGTCAAATACTTTTATTATGTGACATGACCAGTTGTGCTATCTTGGGTCTTTCATGATGCGAAAAATTATTAAAAATTCATATGGATATCTATCGAAGAGCCGAAGATTCTTCAATTTAATGAACTTTCATGTGCTCGCATGTTGCCAAGGAAAATTGATGATTAAGCCATCATCAAGTAAAATTGAGATTGAATCTCCAGTATTTTAGAATATGTTCAAGGTGATATATGTGGATTAATTCATCCACCATGTGGATCATTTAAATATTTTACAATTTTGATAAATGCGTCCACAAGATGGTCACATATATGCTTATTATCTACTCGAAACCCGACGTTTTCGAGATTGCTAGCAAATAATTTGATTTTGAGCATAATTTTCAAATTATGCCATTAAAACAAGTCACCTTGATAATGCTCGATGAATTTATTTCTCAAGCATTAAATTATTATTGATTGGCTATTAAAATAAAGGTTGAACATCTTGTTGCTTATGTTCATACTCAAAAGGGTTTAGCAAAATCATTTATCAAAAGGCTCGAATTAATAGCTAAAACATTATTTAAAAATAAAACTCCTTGTTTATGTTTGGGGATATGCAATCTTACATGCAACGAACACTTATTCGCATATGACCCATAAGTTATCGAAATTCTCTCCTCTTTAATTGATTTATGGTCATGAGTCAATTATTTCTTGTTTAAGAATTTTTGACATTACGAGTGTATATCCTTAGTGCTCCTCCATAATGAAATAAAATGGGCACTTAAAAGAGATTGGAAATATATGAATCCTCTTCGATAATTCAATCTCTTGATTTATGAACAAGAGAAAATTTTTACGAGCTTGATTTATCGACTCGTCATTTTGATGAAATAGTTTTTTCAACATTAGGGGAGAGAATAAGCGATTGAAAATGTTGAAAAAAGAGATTACATGGAGTACTCTATCTTTATATCAATTTGGTACAAAACAATGTGAACTAGAAGTTCACAAGATAATTTGTTTATAAGGTATTATAAACCAATCGCTAGATGTATTCTTATATCCTCAAAGAGTAAATAAAATGCATGTCATCGCTAAGAATGCTCATATTAGAATTGATGTCCCGAAGGACGATCTATTAATGTTATAGCTAATAAATCTAAAGCACGCCCGAAGCGTGAAAGACCGATCGGTTCTAAAGATAAAAATCCCTAAAAGAAAAGGACAAGATGAAAATATTCACAAAACGGTCCAATATATTTATGATAATAGGCTTCCGGAAGAAGTCCAAATACTTGAGAAAAATCAAGAGATTTTGATAAATTATATCAATGCAGGGAGAAAATAGGACCGAAAAGAAACATCTATTGATAAGATTTTTGCATATAATATTGCAATTGATATTATGGATGAAAATAAGGATCCCGAGCCTAAACTATTGAAGAATATCGACATAAAGATGATTGGCTTAAATGAAAAGAGCAATCTAGACGGAATTATGTTCTCTTATAAAAGAGTAGTTTTTTAAACTCATAGCTAAAACACCCGAAGATGTTAAGCTAGTGGGATACAAATATGTATTTATGAGAAAATGAAATAAGAAAGATGATATTATAAGATATAAAGCAAAACTTTTAACATAAAAGTTTTCGTAAAGAATTGACATTGACTATAAGGAAAGATATTCTCCTATAGTGGATGCAATTGTCTCGTTGTTATCTTATTAGCATGAAAAAATATATGAAAAACATTCATATGCATGCATTTAATGAATGTGATCACGGTTTATTTGTTCATTTGAAATGATATCAATATGAAAGTCCTAGAAGGACTTAACATGCCGAAGCATATAATACATATTCTCGAGAAAAGAATTCAATTAGATTATATAGATCTTTATTAGGATTATTTTAGTATTTGTTTTATTATTTTGATTCTTAGAAATTCAATTTATACTTTTTATATTTTATTTTTATATCTATCGTTTATTACTAACCCATGTGCATGTGATATAATCACTTCAATGATTATTTATTGAAAGAAAGTTATAAAAAATAACCCTATTTGTTCATATGTTTTTATTTGAAAAGGGGTTTGTTGTATATGTTGATAACTTAAGTATTATCGAAACTTTCGAAGAGATTCTAAGTGTCATAAGTTACCTAAAAAGAGAATTTGATGTGAATATCTTGAAAAAACAAAATGTTATCTCGACTCGCAGGTTCGAGTACTCGGAAAATGAGATTTTCATTCATCAGTCAATTTATATAGAAAAAGGTTCTACAATGATTCTATATAAAGATCATTCATTGACTAGGTCAATGGTAGTTCATTCACTTGATATCCAAAAGGACCCTTTTTACCTTGAAAAGATAACGAAGAACTACTTGGTCCCGAAGTACCATATTTTAGTGCCATCGGTGCATTGATGTATCTTGCTAATAATACTCGACTCGATATAGTCTTTTCTATAAATTTGTTAGCAAGTCATAGTTCTGTTTCAATATAGAGATATTGAAATAAAGTTAAACATATACTACGTTATATTCGAGGAACAATTGATATGGGTTTATATTACTCTAACAAATCAAAAACTCGGATTAATTGGTTATGCGGATGCGAGTTATTTATCTTATCCACACAAAGCTCGATCTCAAACTGGTTATGTATTTACATATGGAGATACAACTATATCATGGTGTTCTATAATGCAAATTATAGCTGCCACATCTTCAAATCATGCACAAATACTAGCAATTCATGAAGCAAGTCGAGAATGTATTTGGTTAAGATCAATGACCCATCATGTTCAAGAGACATGCGGCTTATCCACTAGCAAGGAAGTTCCAACGAGTCTTGTATGAAGACAATACTCTCGCATAGCTCAATTAAAGGAATGATATATCAAAGGTGACAGAATAAAACATATATCATCAAAATTATTTTTCACACATGATCTTCAACAAAATGGTGATATTAATGTTCAACAAATTCGATCAAGTGACAATCCAGCAGATTTGTTCACTAAGGCACTACCTATCACAACTTTTAAGAAGATGATTCACGAGATTGGAATGCGTCGTCTTAGAGATCATAAATAATGGCTTCAACAAGAGGAGACCAAAATGGGTATTAATATGTGCAAGGAATAATGTACTCTTTTTCCTTCACTAGGATTTTTTTCCTATTGGGTTTTTTCCTAGTAAGGTTTTAACGAGGCATATTCCTTGTACAATGGACATTTAAGGGGAGTGTTATAAAATAATGAATGTCCATATGAATGTCTATCTACTTTTCATATCCCCACTACCCATGATCCTTAATGTGATTCAATTCACCATTCAATATGAGAAATTAAAAGGGTGATGCAATTGATGTGCTTTTAATTATTCATAGTCCCTTCCAATTCTCATCTCAATTTTGAGGCCTATAAATAGGCTTGATTATTCATTTGTTGATGTACAAGTTTCCTGAGAGAATAAGAGAAACTTTGAAGTTCTTATCACTCATATTCACACTTATAGTGATTTTATTTTCTTGTCATCCTTTTCTTCAATTCTCCTATCATTTCTATTTATTTTATAACAAAAACCATTTTTTTCTAATTTTTTAATGAGAAAAAAGTATGATGAACTTAAAATAATTGATTGAAAATATTGGCATTTGAAGTAGATTTTATTAACAATAAAAGGTCGGTGAAGACCCAATTGAAATTTTTTGAAGTCGATGGCAGAGTAGATAATTACTGAAAATACAGGAGCCAAAGTGCACTTTGCCTATTTCGTCTCTTCTCTCTCTCTCTCTCTCTCCCCCTCTCTCTCTCTCTATCCATTTGTCTTTTCCTACCCTGTAAAGTGGTCAGCATCAAAAGAAGGATGCGGGACGAAACGCGAAACCCAGTCTTAACCTTACACGTGTCATTCCGTATCCAATTAAAAATTTAAAAGTCCTAGTGTAGAATTTGGTATATATATTGGATCTACCTTAGCAAATTAGCATCTTAGCTCTCGATTCTCGGCATCTATTATCAGATCCGACTCTCTTTGTTGTCAAATCCAACGGTTCACATTAACTCACTCCTCACATAAATAATCATTTCCACTCCTCATATCATTCACTACCCACACAACCTAAAAAACCTCAAAACCCGCAGAGGAAAAGAGAAAGACGTCTTTCTTTTTTGCTTTTGGTTTTCATTTTCTTCAATCATGGATGTTTTAGATTCTCCAATTGATGCTTTGGTTTTTGATTATGTGAGTTTTGGGATTTTTACTATCGTTAACAATTTATGGACGTGGGTTGCCGTTATTACAGCTGCCGTTAGCTTTTGGAGGATCAGAGTTGCTGGGGCTGGAGCCGTCAAAACGCTGGAGCCATCACCTCCATCGGATTACACTGAACGCAACATTAGTGAGTTATCTGTGCCTGAAACATCATTATCAACAACAACAACGCTTAAGTCAGTAACAGAATCAGCAGCTCCCGGTTCAGTGAGTTCAATTCCCTCAGTTTTTGAAGACAACGGAGTGACAAAAGGGAAGTTTGTGGTGTATTATTATCAAGACGATGGCAGAGAAAATGATGGCAATATTGGCGGTGACGGGGAGGAGTTACCGGTGTTTGGAGAGTGGGGTACGTGTGGTGGAGAGTTAACGTTGTGGGAGCGAATGTTGAGGGTGAGAATGGGGGATTATGGATGGTACAAATGTCAGGATTTGACGGTGATTAACGGCAACGTTGTTAGGTTATGGGATGGGTTTAGAAGAGAAAAGTACAGCTCAGGCTGTGTTGTTTGGTAGGTGGGGTTTTTCAGAGAATATTTAATGTTGAATTAAGGTGTTTTTATAAATGTAAATATATTAATTGTTGGTTGGAACAACCATTGAAACCTGGAAATTTGCAATGTTGCAATTTTTGCTTTCCCTGATTAATAAGTAGTTCTGTTCTTCCTATATATAATTATCAAGCATGCTTCTTCACTAATTACTATTCGCTACTAATATATGTAGTTAATTTTGAAAATGAAGTGCCATTTCATTAATCGACCAAGAGATGCATGAATAGGCGAGCTAGCTAGTAATTGTGTATGTGAGTATTATATATATATATATAGAAGGGGAAAAAAAGTGGTCGACGTCCGTATATATTGTTTGGTGATGACTAATTAATTTGTAGTGCATCTAATTAAGCTCCTTAGCTCTATTAATGCAAATATATCCCTAATCAAGGCTTTCCGAAGATGGTTCAAAAGCAATTAGATGATTATGCTATGTGTATTAAGTTTTGTTTATGCTAAAAGCTTGCTCTATTCTAAATTCATCAAAGGGAGCCTCTTATAGAAATGCATATATTTTCGCCTAACCTGGTTAATTAATTTGGCAAAGAAGCAATAGAACGTCGCAGAATTGGTTTTATCTGATTAATTAATATGAAAGCTTCACATGATTAGCAGGCAGCAGCAATTGGTATTTTGATAAGCTAGGGATAAGGATGCACAGCTTTTATATATATTTCCAGTTAAAATTTTTTCAAGATGGTAGCTTGTAAGTTTTAATCCGCTAAAGAAAACTTATGGAACATACATTACGGTGGGGCCTTGTAGAGCGTAGTACCGCCAAAAGACGAATCGATATGAGATATCAACCACGCGTACGTAGTGGTGTAGTTGGAGAAAGGGTGCCAAAATTATGAAGGCCAATGCAATGGTCTGTGTTTGTTTGTGGCGGGACCAATGCAACCAGCTATAATTTGATATGTGATGTCATTAATTAATTTGAAAGTTAAACAACAGATATTCCAACTGTTTCAAGAATTTTCTGATCAATGATATATGTTTATAACGAACCTCTGTAGTCAGATTCGTTGTCGCAAGCAAACAGATGCTTGAGGGACAGTATGATCCTCTGCTCTTTCTCTCTCTCGTATATTTTCCTGTCATATCGAATTTTATTGCAAAGAAAAAGGCAAGCAAATGAATCTAATAGAAAAGACTGCAAGAAAAAAGAAAAAAAAACATGAGATATATATACTAGGAGTATAGCTAGCTAGCTAGTTTTTCAATATTTTCCTTACTCGTGAAAGGTACAATAGGATCTTATTATTATTTTTTAAAATTAACTAAAATATTTGAGAAAATAAATTACATTTTCAAATATTTATAATATGGATGATAAGGCCAGATTCAACATGATAATATTATTTTCATCGTCGTAGATTCTCGGTTGTATGAAGATTGGATTAATCTTTTGTTTTTTTTAGCTGATCACATTTAACATTCTTGTTTGGGAATTTTGGTTTAAGTACCTGTAAAATAATAAAGTCTTTTTCTTTTTCTTTTTTTGGATTTTGAAAGCCTTGTAAATTGTTAAGTTAACATACAAAGAGATGCAAATAGCTTTGTTAGACTTAATAGTATATGGTTATGTGTATCGTTTGTTAGACTAGTGGTGGGTTGTTTGTCTAGATGAGCTATATAAGATATATAGTGATTTTATAGTTTTTTTATTTTTTATTTTATTTTATTTGGTCTCTTAACTTGTATGAGAGTTTGGTAGTTTTCGCTTGCATAATAGGTTGCTTAATCCTTCCATGTCTCTAGGATTCTTTCTTTTACTATGGATGCTACTAGCTTGCACGAAGTTTGAAGGTGAATTCATCTTACACAATATAGATAAATGAATCTTATTCTTATTGTATAGCGATTTCTCATAAATGTGGTAATCCTCTTAAGAGAATGTTTCTTATTGACGTTTAAGTTACATCATTTCATAAGTTAACGAGTAAGGCAGTATATTTCATTTAATAATTATCTTTTGTACTTCTTTTTAATGGGGGAGTGAGCTAGACATAAAGGTAGATGATGATGCAAGAGTGGATGAAACCATGTTTGTAGGAGTCTCTCGCTATACGGATCTCAAATGGTGGTAGATGAATTCTATTATTGTGGTTGGATAAAGAACACATGTTAAATGTATTTTACCGAATATGTCATTTATCGGTTATTTGGAAAGCACAAATACATAATGTGTTATTTTTACACACACACAAAAACAACAACAATATATACATATATATTGTTGGAAGTAAAGAGCAATGCCTTTTACTTAGTCTTTTTTTATGAACTAGGATCGGTACCCTAGTAAATTTATTAATTAAAAAACATGAAAATACAAGGAGGACAAAGGAAGCCTAACCCCTAAGAAAAATCGGGATTATTTCTTGTAATTATCCAAACCCATATCATCCCGCTCGCTAGCTAATTTTACCTTCAAAGGCAACTCTAAAAATAGAGTAAAACTACAATGTAGTCTATATTGAAGAGTTGTACTCACCATTATATCTTCTACCATATTTTGGTCCCTCCAAACATCGTAATGCTATGACTACACAACAGACTTTTGACATTCTCTCGAAAATAAAAGTGTATGATTAGGGTACCTTATTTAAACCCATTATTGTGTTAGTCACCATCGGAGAGTCGATTCAATACCGATCGATACCAAATTTGGTGATTTGCAAAGTAATAAACCATCCCAAAATGTCAAAACCTCTATCTTAATATTACTTCCTTCCCTATAGTATCTTACAAAACCTCGCTATAAAACCACTCGTAGTATCTCGGATTACATCGCCTTTAGCGTAAAAACCATCCTTAGCTGAACCATCCACTTTCAATTCATAGCATCCATGATTTTGAGGTTCCAATTTTAACCACATTCCCTTTAATTTTTTCAATCTGTATCGGTACAATACCCAACTCTTATAATTTTTGCAATCCTATAAGATTTAGAGATTTTTTTTGGTTTAAATAGCATGCATATATCATTCAAATCCACTCTAACACGTCTAATAATGTCCTCTACATTCATTGGTATGTCTTCATATTTAGCTTTACATCTACTCTTCCAAATTTTCCATATGAAAAAATAAAAAGTACCAACTCGACACAAGTCAATTTGAGTAGATATCGAACTAAACCAACTACTAGCACACTCATTCAAAGACATACTAAAATTATGAATGCCCAAAATATTACCAAAATACATCCAAACCTCAACGAGTAGTATGAGAATGTAGAAATAAATGCACCATTGTCTTTTCCATATGGCGTGTACAACACTAATAGCTTGACACTAAAAGAATTTGAAAATCCTTTATTCTTGAATCCACAGGAATAGCCCCTTTAAACCACTTCCACATGAAACCTCTAATCTATGGAGCAATAAAAGTATTCTAGATTCTTGGAGCCCATGGCCAACTAGGAGAAGAAATTCAACGAGTGATTCCAATACACTTTTGTTTCAAAGGCACCTATCTTAGTTAAAGTACACATCAATTTATCATCAATGTTTCATCAAAACAAATATGCCTAACCACATTATGAAAATGAATTGGTATAACACTCTAGAACTCCTCCGGCTCCTTGAATGTTTGTCTAATTGTCAAAAACCTATCAATAGGAAGAGAAGACTCTAATACGCTACCACATCAATTGGCACTCTAAAAGGGAATTACACCTTTACCAAGAATCCATTGATTGTAAGACTTGAGTGTTGGCACATAATGTATTATTGCTTTCCAAATATGCAAAGAAACTATAGAAATCCACCCATCATCACCATATTTCTCACGTAGATACCAAGCCCATAGATCGGAACCCTTTATATAGGACCAAACCAATTTTGCCTACAAAGTGTCCATTACATGACCCAATCTTCTAATCCTCAAACCATCTTCGCTCATAGGTTTGCAAATTTGACTCCACTCCATGAAACTCAATGGTGTCGATCTTCTCCCATAGAACTCCATAAAAAATTAGCCATCATGCATTCTATACATCGGATAGTGTCTCTAGGCACATGAATAACCGTCATAACATGTATTGAAATGCTGCTAATAATATATTTTAATAACGTCAATCTAGCCCCAAAAGATAGTAATTTCTACTTCAATCCTCCCAATCTTCTATTAATCTTCAATTCTAGAGGATGAAAATAAGTTTGTCCGATTTTATCGATGAACAATGGGTACTTTTAAATATTGCATTAGGAATTGAAAGTGACAACAACTCGTCCAACCCTTAATAACACATATTCTCCGAGCCGACATATGTTTTAGTGTATAAAACCCACTCTTATTCACATTCAACAACTAGCCCTAACAATCCTCATATCGTCCGATCGGCTCCCTCAAATACATTAGAGACCTTTTTGACCCATTCATGAACAACAACATATCATCTCGTATAAAAAAATGAGAAATAAACATATTGGACCTACCTACCCTATATGATCGAATGTAACCATCTTGTATGTATCTCCTTAAATTAACTAAAAGAATCGATGCACTAGCATGAACAATAATTCGATAAAGGATCTCCTTGTTTTACTCCTCTACTAGACTTAAAATACTCAAAATTTCTACCCCGAATCCTAATAGTGTACCGGATATTACTAATATATCTATATATCAAATCACACCAAATATTATTAAAGCCCATTTCCCTCATCACCCTAAAAAGAAATAGCCACTCAACCCTATCATATGCCTTTGACATATCTAATTTAAAAAATCATATTATCTCTATGCATTTTTCAACTCAAAGCCGACACCAACTCTCAAGCTAAAGCTACATTTTCGGTAATATTGTGACCCTTCACAAAACATGCTTGTTCCCGATCTATTAAATTAGGTAAAACCAACCTTAGCCTTGGAGCTAGAATTTTAGAAATTATCTTACACCCATAAGTGGAAAGACTAATAGGTCGCAAGTCATTGAGACCAAAAGGATTATCAACTTTCGACGTTAACGCTAACATATTAGAGGACATAACTTTAGGTAGATGTCTTCATATGAAAAAATCCTAAACAATCGCAACTACCTCTCTATGTATTTTATTCCAACAACCTTTTAAAAAAATACCGTGAAGCCTCCCATCCCGCAGCACTAAAAGAATTTAACACATCAACCACCTCCAAGACTTTCTTCTCTAAGGCACACTTATTAATTGAACATTTAACTACTCTGTGATACTTTTATCAATTCTTATAAAAAAAAAATCATGACTAACTATTGACTTAGCCATGAACAATGACTAAAAATACCTAACTCGCTTCCTCTCCTATGATTGAAACATCCTCAACATAAGACCCATCCGCTCGACATAATCCGAAAGTAATTCTCTTGGCATTATCTTTGTTATAAGCATGAAAATAAGCAATATTCCTATCCCCCTTTGTAACCCGAGTTTACCCTAGCCTAATGTCTTTACATATTGTCTTCCCATTGGATTACCTTATCCAACTCCATTTTCTTATCGTGTAACCGATAGGCTATATGATCATCCCGACCCCGTAAAAACCTCAAATCAAATCTAATTATATCATCTTATAGCTTTTTCATCTTCCTCCTAACATTCCTAAAAACCTCCCAATTCCATACCCTAAGTTTGCTCATAAGATTCTTAAGTTTCGAGGTAACACTTCCATCGAGGGACCTTGCACTCTAATCCGATAAAAACCTAAAATTCTATATGTTCCAAGCACATTTATTGGAACTAAAACATAACATGTTTCTTTTGATGTTGCTATAAACGAATCAGTAGTGGAGAATGATTTGAAACTATTCGAGCTAAATGATTCACAATTAGATTCGGTCTAGACAATACGTTAGAGCCATTCGCTAATACCCTACTAACAATTCCCGAATTCAAGATAAGCTTGATTGATTATTACACCAAGTCTATTTACTACCTTGGTAACGCATATCCATTATACCAAATTTATCACAACAATTATTAAATGCATTCATACCTTGAATATCATACCCATTTCCTTTGATTTTTTTATCTATAGAAGCTATCACATTAAAACCCCCCAATAATCCATGGATCCTGATTAATTAAAGCCAAGAAATCTAATTCAGACAATAATCGTTGACGTTCCTTCCTATTACAACTACCATAGATTACTAATACTCTTTACATACCAAAACTAATCCTTGATATATTTACAGTGAGCACCTGCTTTTGCATTTCCTCACAAACTAAAGTAACATCCTTAGTCCAAAACATGCATAATGAATATTTACTGGGTTAAATTGCATGATAAATTTAAACTTCAGAGACTTAGCAATATCATTTATTCTGTCCCTTCCTAATTTTAGATTAATTATAGCGACCAATATTGGTCTATGTTGTTTCTTTAAAAGCCTAATGTAATTAATTGTACCAGTATTCCCAATACCTCTAGCATTTTAAATTATAACTGACATTAAATATTACTAGAAAAGATGTAGCCAATGCTTTTTAAGCTGACCGAGTGTTCCTGTCGCGATCTGACAATTAAAGTTTTTTGTTTTTTCCTATCTTCTCAAATTGTTTAAAAGTCTTCTTCACTTTTTTCACATTCCCACTTTGAAAATCTATTGAACTCATTGATAACCGATTCACCTTATCTATTTTCTTCTCCTTTTTCATCCTCCGATATAGAACCCTTCCATATAATACCTATTACCCCTTTAACCTCTACATCCTTTGAAGGCAAATCCCTATTATCCAATTCCAACTCTCCAACGCCATTTCCTTTTACATTGTTAATGCATATCACTACTGCTAAAATCAACTGATCACTATGTTCCAGAACCTGAGGAAACTTATAAACTGATATCCCTGACCTGTATTTCACAGCTACAGACCCTGTACGCTAGAAAGTCCCTTGGTTTGTGTTACCCGAATCATCCCTCTCCAGTCAAACCAACTCAGATGTTTTGATACACTATCTATTTCCTTGTCATGTTCTACTGACTCCTCCACTTGTTTCAACATGAAATAAGGATTGGAGTCTATAAGGGTATCCATAATTTCATTTGCACTTTCACAAAGTGACATCCCTGACCCGTGTTTCACCATTACAGAACCTATACCTTGAATTGTCCCTTGACATGTGCTACCCAAAGTATCCCCTTCCAGTAAAACTAACTCAGGCTGCTTTGGTCCTCCATCTGTTTCCTTTTTGTGTTCTTTAGCCTTCCCTCCCAGTTTTATCATAGCGAAAGGATTTGAAAATATTGGGATATCCACAGCTTTATTTGCACTTTTTCCACTATAAACACATTGTATCTCTTGTTTATCCTTTTTCCCCGCACTAGTACACTCATGTTATGCAGTATTATGATCCACCCTTTTATTGATAATTTCATGTATCTTCAAAACTACTGACTTATCTCCCTTAAACTTACCTGCAGCTCTTGACAATATGTCTTCTCCCAGCTTCTCATTAACCATGTTCTTGTCCCCTACAGATATACCGTAGTTAATGTTTTCTCCAATCTTAATCATGGCTATTACCTTGCCAATCTTTAGACCTATTTCTTCTTTCCCTACGTATTCCAAACCATTCCTTATTTGTCTCTGCATGGGAACCCACTATTGCTTATTTGTGTTCCCATGCATAGCCTGCGTAATATCATGAGCCTATTGCCACCTCTTGTGCAATGCATTCTCCAACTGTGAAGGCTTAAGAGTTTTGCGATAACTAGCTGCAGTATGACCTATTAAACCATATGAAAAAAAATAATCTAGATTTCCTTTATATTCAATCCTCTGCCAGAAACCACTCTCCTTGGAGCTTCCCACCCAAATTCGACTTGGAAGAGGCTTGGACACATCCACCGCCAAATAGATTCTAACACACATTGGGTAAGTTAATGCCAACGTTCTTTCATCCGCCCTTAAAAATCTCCCTATTCCTTCCCTAATTCTTTTTAGGAAGGATGGATCGAAGAACATCAAAGGTAGGTGTGGCAACCTAACCCATACAAAAATTATAGGATTGTCTTTTTGAAATTGAAACTCTGCACTCCATTGTAACATTCGATACATACTGTTTTGAATCTTGTTTTCTTCACGGGATAGAGCTAAAAGTAGATCTTCTTCAGACTCTAATCTAACCATGACATGCCGTGGGTCAAGTAAACCTATAATAGGTTCCTTTTTTAGATGCCACCACTGCTAAATATGCCCATGAATATCTCTGATGGATGACCTCCCTCCATTGAATTTCAGAACGAGAATGTGTTGAAATTGGGTCGAGGCTTGTTGCAGCTCTATAAAGGAGAATAAACATATCAGTTCTGAATTAATATAGCACGGTTGCCTTGGTGCCTAAGGAATGTTTGTGAATGGGAATACTTTTGATTTTTTTTGAGTTATCTAGAACTACCACTGATTAGGCAACAACATGAGCATAAGAGGACTGTGATGATTTATTCAATCCAGATTCATTCCGAGTAGCACTGATCGGGATGATGGAAGATTGTAGCGTCTCCACAGCGTTGTTGTTCGAGATTGGTATCATCTGTGAAACCATACTGGACGTAGCTTGATTTTGTGTCTTGTCCTTTGTCTCTTGGGGTTGCATTACAGCCAAAAGAGGAGAAAACTGCCATCTGATCGACGTGGGACTTGGCAACAGCGGTGGGCGAGCCACCATGTGCCTCTTTCTTCTTCGTGAGGTTTCCTAGCGACTCCTATTTTTTCGGAGCTCTAAACCTAAATTTCAATAATTCCTTTTACTTAGTCTTCCTCCTCACTCTATATATAATATTAATTGAGGTAGAGCTAATGATACTAATGGTCATATTAAAATGAAAATGTATTAGTTTAGTTAAGTAAAATGGAGTTTGTCTTCCCATAATATGGTTCTCTATCAAAATTATGTGCATAGAAGCTGTAAATCCTTCATGCAATGAGGCACAACGATTGTTAATAAATTTCCACCGGTAAAGCTAGACGAATCAAAAGCCAATCAATAATCAATCATGTGCTATTAAAAAAAAAAAAAAACTAGACTAAAACGTAATTTACTATTTATTGACATTGATTCAAATACTATTTATTTAGATTTATATGCATTATTCACACAAACTCAAATGTACTATTTTTTTCCTATGCAATAACTTTTTTGTAGTATTCAAACCTTTTAAAGATATTTATTACAAAAATTTTTGTAACATTATATTTTAATCTTTTTTGTTTTAAATTTTTTTTTTTGGTCTATAAAATTTTTTGTTTTATTTTGGTCATTTTTTTTCATTTTGATCACTTTAGTCCTTACTTTTTTTCTTTGATTTTTTTCAATACAAATTTTAAGATAAAAAGATATTTAGAAAAAATAATTTATAAAATAAGTATTTAGCTAAAAAATATAGATAGAGATAAATAAATAATATTTTTAATAAAAACATTTATGAAAATATAAAGAATAATTATTCAAATACACAATTTTGATTAAAAAATTATAAAATTAAACGAATTTTTATTTTATTTTGATTTAATATATTTAGATAGACACATAATATAATACGAGATATTAAATTAAAATAATTTTTTAAAAATAATTTTATATATTAACGTGGTTAAAAAATAAAAAAACTAGTTATCAACTTTGCTAAAATGAATGACCAGGAGATTTGCGAGCATAATCGTGATTTAATACTATTATATTCGTGAAAGGTGCATTGCATTGAAAATGTAATCTAAGATGTAACTATCTAAGATGTAACTATCAAATTTCGAGGATACCATATTTTTCTAGGCGTGCCATCCACACACAAACATATATATATATATATATATATATATATATATATATATATATATATATATATATATATATATATAAGTGTAAAAATATTTATTTGTTTTAAATTTTAAGTAATACACGTTTTAAAAATATTTATAATTAAAGTTTATTTTGTAAAAAAAAAAAAAAACTATCCAAATACAATTTTTTAAAAAATATAAATAAAATATGTTCATATAAATAAAGATTAATAATATTTTAAATTTGTACGAAATGTAAAAAAATAAGAATTTCTTTTGTAAGACGGTAGTACATAAATTGCAATATTAGCAGCAGCAATTTCTAGTTGGAGCACAATTGTGGTATATTCCTTTGCAAAAAGAATTGGCCGAAGCATCTTTCCGTGTGACTGACCTCCCACAACTAAGATATACCACGCAGCAAGCAGCCTTTTTAATCACAGCCTCTCTCTCTTTGAAAATGCATTAATACCAAAATCTAGTTAGTACACATAAAATCTAACGGGAGCGAACTATTCGGTTAAAATTAAAAAATCAAATTGAATTAGATTTGATGAGTAATTTCAATTCAATTTTGTATAAAAAAATTAAAAAAGAAAACAAAACCAAAAATGAAAAATTATTTTGATTCTGTTTAGTTTTTTTTTTAAAAAAAATTTTGTTACCATCGAAAATCAAATTAGTGTTTTTTTTTAACAAACACACCCAAAACTCATAATGTTTTCTTATGATTTTTTTACTAAATCTTTAATTCAAACTATTAGCATTTCTTAAAATAAAAAAAAATTTACAAAAAAAATAGTCTTTCAACTTGATTAAAAAAAAAAAATTCAAAATTCAAATGAAAAGATAAAAAAAAAAATTTTGATTTTTTTTATCAAAAATCAAATCGAAAAATTTGATTTTTGATTCCATTTCGATTTTTATAAAATAAAAATCGAAACGGAACAAGAAAACCAAATAATCACTCTTAAATCTAAGTACCCTAGACGCCGCTCATCTGAGCATTATGCAGCCCTCGTACAGGTTGGCAGATTTGATATGCCATTTGTGCATGGCTAGTTCGGTGGACCATAGTTATTAGTTTCTTTTTTTATCAATCAAAATCTTGGTCCACTAACTTGTCTAGCCCAAAATTACCATTTACACCAACCAAAATAGAGCCCAACCAACACCCCCATGAAAATAGGCCCAATATTGCAGGCTTAATAACTATAGTTACACATTACCTAACAATAAAATCAAGCTCACGTGAGTGGAACGACACCAAGAAATTTTATAATACACGAAAGAATGACTAATGACATATACGATAGCTTACTTTTCGACCCATTTTGAAGAGAGAGATAGACACACAAAAGAGAGAGAAAATAAAAAATTTGAGCGGACGTAGAAATTTTCTTATCACTTTTAGTGGGTATGGATGTAATTTTATTTTTTTATGTGTCTATCTCTCTCCTCAAAGTGGATCCAAGGAGTAACTATTGTACATGCCACTAGTTACTCATTGTACATTATAAAATTTTCTCGTGGTAGGTGCCGTTCCACTCACTCGAGCCGTGGAATCGAAGAGCCGCATTATATCAACTATCTAAAATTACCAAAATTATTAATGTTTTGTAGGTGCCTAACTCTCCGAAGCGACGAGAGACAAAAGACATGGCTTAATCTATCATTTGGTTTTCGTCTTTATATCAATTATCCAAAATTACCCTTACATTAATAATTTATTCAATAACATTGTTTTTGTAAAATTAATTCAATTGGACCAATAGTTGTCCGCTAACAAAATATTGTATTAATCGAGTAATGACATGGATAAATTTTTTTACTCAAAACATAAATTAGATTCATATATTAAACGAATTATGTCACATCACTTCGGTTTACTTGTTCAAAAGAGCATAAAACAAAAGGATTTATTTTCATATTATATAAATTCTAGTTATGCATTAATTTCATCAAGATTTGGAAGGGTTTGTAATTATTTTGGGAAGAAATTAGAGCTCGGATTTTAAGATAAATGCAATTGCATCGTAATATTTTAATAAAAATTATAGATTTAATTTTCGTTTTATGGTCATTTGAATTTACATGTGTGAAGACTTTGACGATAAGCATTATTAATTATATTCATTCTTTTATATTTAGTCTTTTAGTTGTATTTTAAGGTTATTTATATTGAATAATGTTTATTTTATGACTGATAGTAATCATTATTGATTATATTTATTCTCTTATATTTAGTTTTTGGATACAATTTAACGTTATATATGCTTAATTAAGTTTATTTTATGATTTAAGATATGATCTGGAAGCAAAGGATCAAAATTAAGCTAACTAATGTGAAATTCCATTGCTAACGGAATGATTTTCTAAAGAAGATACAAGAATTTTATCTTTTGAGAGACCTAGAACATAAAAGAGGCTTTTTTGAGATTTGAAGTGGACATCTTATGAATTTCAAATTGAGTTTGATGCATAAATCTATTTTGATTTGGGCTATCAAAATTGGTTGTAAAGTCAAGTCAAAATTTGGATTCCGTGATCTGTCTAGAACACTACCTAGTGTTTAGCCATATCTAAAATTCTACACATTAAATTAAGATGATTCAAAAGCCTATAAAACAAAAAACATCTAGATCTACAAAATTTTATGAAGAGGTTAAGAACGAAACCGATTCATAAGTAGCAATGGGGTTAAGTAATTTATAATATTAACATCATTCTAATTCTAAAAGAAAAGAGTATATATTAAACCATTTAAACTTGTGTGTTGATTATCTATTTTGGTTGTTCTTTAAATCATTAAG